TCTGCGTGTAGCTGGGCACGGGGTTAAGGAACTTTATTTTTTGGCTAATCCTCACCAAATGATCTTTTCCCATCGATTTTTAGAGAGTGGAAGGGTAGGGGAGAAACAGAGAGAGAGAAACCTCCATGTGGGAGACTGGGTCCTGGGATCGAGCCTGCCACAAAAGGACGTGCCCTTGGCCAGAATCAAAGCTGGACCCTTCAGTCCAAGGGCCAATATTCCATCCATGGAGCCCCACCAGCCAGGACTTTAGGGGAGACGTCATGAACTCAGCGGAGCGGTGTCTGCACAGACAGAGCTGCCACGCTCCAGGGGCAGGAGTGCCCAGGCCGTGCAGAGGACAAGGCAACGGCGGCCCTGCCCTGATGGGCGTCAGGACCTGCCCACCCCAGCCAGCCAGGCCAGGCCACAGCTGCCAGGCCAACAGGTTCCAGAAGTGGAGACCTGAGGGGGGCCAGCTCCAGCCGCCGTCCTCTCCGACCCGCCAGCTGCCTGACTGTAGCAGCTTTGCTCACGCCGACCCAGCCGCCAGCAATGACACGGCTCAGCGGAAAGCCCCCCGGCCTGGCTCAGCGACAGCCGTGCAATCCCAGAAACCCGGGAAGGTGCCGGGATCACTAGAGAGAGTGAAAGGGGCCCCCCACAGCGAGGTCCACTCCAAGCAGGTGACCCCTGACCTGGAGGCCCTCCTTGGGGGTCCTCCAGACAGGGTCACACCCCCACCCAACACAGTGACCGTGTGTTCTTGGGCCCCCGGGGGAGGGTGTGGCCTGTAAGGGTCATTCCGGACCACTGGAAAGACCATCTCCTTAATTCCATTGTAGAGGTAGACTGGCTGCTGCGGGAATTCTGAGTGACACAGTCAATGTCTCCCAATTTATTTAAATCAGCTCAGATTACTCACAATACATTTCCTCCCTTCCTTTCATAATGTATTTAAGTGGTTTATCTAAGTTTTAACTTAAAACGATGCTAGACTGTTAGCCGTGGTGTTCTGGCTCCTGACTTTCCAGCTAAGTTAGTGAAGCAGCGTCCCACAGCTCCGCCACCCAGCCCCTCCCCTGCCACCCACCAGCCCGGCCCAGCCCCCGGGAAAGGACCCCCAGCGCTCAGGCCGGGGCCCCAGTCCTGCGAGAACTCGCACTCCCCTCCTCCGGCAGTCACCCTCCCCGACTCAGGTGAGGTCGCAGGAGGGTGAGGCTCGTTGGCGAACCAGACCCCGGCCCTCATTTGCGGGACGGGCGGTAAAACAGTGGCCTTTCGGGACTGTTTCCTGGCAAATTCCAAGGATGGATGGCCTGTGCCAAGCCAAGCAGGACCAAGGGCAGGAGGTGCCCGCGCCAGCCCTTGAGCAGGAAACCACAGCCCACCTGCCTTCAATTCCGAGACCCAGAGCCTCTCGAACCCCCACTTCAGACCACAAGGGACAGGAGGGGGAGGGGGACGAGCTGAGCCTGCCACCTGGACGAAGCCCCAATCAGAGCGAAGCCGGGGCCAGAGGGAGGGGCTGTGAGGGGCGGGCTGCTGGAGCCCAGACCCTGGGCCCTGGGTCAGTGAAAAGCCTCCCAGCCCAGGACGCCTCCTGCTGGGCAGGGCTCCCCGTGCTGAGGCGGCTGCAGGGCCAGCAGCGCGTGCCCCTCACGCAGCCCCAAACCAAGAGCACACCCTGGGAGCAGCAGGCACAGGGGCCTGAGGCCCAGAGCGGCACTGGGAAGCGGGAGGGCAGGGCTGACCCCCTCCCTGAGCGAGCGAGCACTTAGGTTGTCACCTCCCCCCCCCCC